CCCGCCCCGCCAGTGGCGTCCACGGGCGCCTGAATCTTCTTCAAACCCTGGATCTCCGCCTGCAGCGCGGACTGCTCAACCGGCAGTGTGGTCACCGCGGCCTCGAGGTCGGCCGTCCGCTCGTCAGCCTTCTCCTGCCTGCCCTCCACCTTCCCGATCCTCTCCCCGTGATCCGCCAGGGTGCTGGAGACGCTGGAAAAGTCGCTCCGGAGGCCCTCCACGTTCCTGTTCAGTTCAGGGCCACCAACATCCGCTGCGTGAACGCCCGGTCGCTCTCCTCCGCCTCTTCCTCCGCCACCGCCCCAGCCCGGGCGGGCGCCCCAGCCCCGGCGCCTCTCGCGGCGCGCGCACCGCGGGCGATCCGGCAGGGGATCCGAAGGGCGTCGGCAGCGCCCCGATCTCCTCCTCCGCCACGTCTCGACGAGCCGAAATCCTTCACATCAGTAATTTTGGGTCTCGGAGCCCACAGGGCGGTTTTTCATGTTTTCCATTCGACGTTCCATGAAGCCCGATGTCATTCCGAGGCCGCGCATCGAACGTTTTCGATGGCGCGTCGCGTTATGCGATGTCACGTGCGTTGGGGTCGTCAAAGGCTTGCGTGCTTGTTGCGGATCGGTTGATGTGGGCTGGGGTTTCTCAGGATTGTACATTTGCGTTGCGCTGGGGCGGTTTCGACCCCCATCCCTGGCTGATCCACCCCGCGGGCAACGTCGCAGGAAGAGTTCGATCATGTCGTTCGTAGTGCCAGCGATGCTGTCGCGGACATCGACCGTGCCACGGGGGGGGGTCGTCCAGAAATTTCCTACCATATTGCAGTGTTGGTTCTTCGTTTTGAAGAGACACCGCCCCGCGTCATTCCTTCCGGCCCCCTCCCTCGTCCTCCCTCTTCGCGTATCTGCCCCTGCTCTCCGCGTGTCTCCGTCGTCATCGTCCATCGTCATCGTCGCCATCACCATCATCATCAGCATCATCAGCATTCTCGCCGTCTCCATCATCAATACCACCACCATCCTCATCAACATCATCAAAACACCCCCCTTGTTCCCCCGCGTCTCTGCTTCGCCACATCCCCCGCAAGTCTCGTGGCCTTGTGAGGTGCTCCACCGAAGGCCCCATCGGCAGGGTCCTTAGTGCGCCGCCCAGCCCATGTCGGCACGCCCCTCAGACGCTTCGTGTCCCCATGAGGAGCTCATCGGAGGTCCCGGCGGCAAGGTCCACATGCCGTCGCCCAGGCCACATTGATGACACCCTCAAACATGTCGTGCCCCTATAGGCAGCTCCACCAAAAAAAGGTCCCAGCGGCAGGTTTCCCAGGCCGCCGCCCAGGATATTTCGGCATACGTTTCACACCCTTCGTGGCCCCACGGGGAGCTACACCGACGGCCCCACATGCAGGGCCCACAGGCCGCCGCCCAGCCCATTCCGTCATACGCTCACAAGCTTCGCGGCCCCATTGGGGAGCACCCCCGATGGCCCAAGCGACAGGGTCCACATGCCGTCGCCCAGCCCATGTCGTCCACGAGTGGCGCCCAGCACTGCTCCAAGAGCGCCTCAAGAGGCGCCGAGTAAGTTGCACCCTCATGCAAACAGTTTTTGTCACTTGTGGGGGTCCTCTTGGGGCCCTCTTGGAGCATTCTTGGGGCCCTCTGGGAGCGTTCTTGGGGCCTTCCCGGGGCCCCAGTGGGCCCTCGGAGGGCCCCAAGAACGTTCCCCGAGGGCCCCAAGAGGGACCCCCCAAAGTGGTACAAAGAATTCGCGCGAACGTGCAATCTGTTGTAGGCCTTTCGGGGCCCTCTGGGAGCTCTCTTGGGGCCCCCATTGGTGGCGCCTTGGGGCCTTGGGATGGCTCCAAGAGGCTTCGGGATTGCCCCAGACCGCCACAAGACAGCTCCGAGACGGCCGTCGAGCACCACGGGTGAAAGCAAGTGAGGCTAGGGAACAGGGCCTCTGGTAAGCCGCCACTGCGCCCCCTGGACTACCCAGACAGCGAGGGGACCTGAAACGCCCTGGGGCTCCAGGGGCCCCAGATTAGTGAAGTGAAGGTTTTTGCCATGCAAGCACCCCGAAATTCTTCACTTCACTAAACCGGACCCAGGACGAACTCGCTACGCTCCAGTCCCGCGGGAGATCCAAGACTCCCGCCGCCGCCCGGGGACGTTGCTGCATTGCGGTGCTCTGGTCACTGTTAATGGCTTCCGCGGGCTGCAGCGGCTCATTTCCATGACTACCCCGACTCACGAATCCAGTGGTTGGTCTGGCTCTATGGGTTGGTTTCGTTGTGTCGGTTGATTTTATGCTTGGTTGGCGGTCGGTGGATTTCGCGTTGTTCATTGGTGTCGTGAAGTGATTTGTCGTTTGGTTGGTCAGTGCCGTTTTGTTGATTCGTGCCGTTTTGTTGGTTGGTGTCGTTTCGTTGGTTGGTGTCGTTTTGTTGCTTGGTGTCGTTTTGTTGCTTGGTGTCCTTTTGTTGGCCGGTGTCGATTTGTTGGTTTGTTGGTTGGTGTCGGTTTGTTGGTTGGTGTCGTTTTGTTGCTTGGCGTCGTCCTGGCGGCGTGGCCGATAATCGGCGGCCTGCAATGGCGCCAGGATTTGTTTCGGGCCAGCCTTGATCGCCCTCATCATTCTCATATTCGTCAGCGTCAGCACTCGTCGCCCCCATCCGCGCACACATGCGGCCCTGGTACGGCTCTCACGCGGCCCTGCGAAGGCCTTCACTGTGCTCCCCAAAGCTTTCTGAGGGGCCCCCCAGAGGCCCCAAGAGGGCACTGGAAATTGTCGCTTCCAACTCCGCCAGGCGGAGGTCAACAAGGGTCTCACTGGTGCACTTCCAGGAATCGTCGTTCGATCCTCTTGGGGCCCTCCTGGGGCCTTCTGGAGCCGTCTTGGAAGCTCCGAGCGGCTCCATGAAGGCGCCGGGCGATATCGCTTCCAATTCCGCCAGGTGGAGTTAGACCAGGGGCTCACTGAGGCCCCTTTTTGCGCCCTCCTCTGCCTTTGAAAAAGCCCCGATGGGGTTCTTCAGTGCCGTCTTAGGGCCCCTAAGAGGCCTCCAGTAGGGTATTGAAGTTATCGCTTCCAACTCCGCCACGCGGAGTTGAACCCAGGGCGGCTCTCTATGGCCCTTTCGGGGCCTTCTTAGAGCTTTTCTGAGGCCCTAAGTGGGCCCTGGGAGGTGTCATTTTCACGGGCGTTGAAAGTGACACCGCGGAGGGCCCTCTTGGGCCCTTCTTGGGGCCTCTCTTGGGTCCCTCTGGGAGCCCTCTTGGTGCCGCCCTGGGGCCTTCTCGGGGCCTTCTTGGAGCCTTTCTGGTGCTCTTTAAGTGGGCCCTGGGAGGTGTCACTTTCACGGGCGCTGAAAGTGACACATCGAAGGGCCCGCTTTCCCTCGTAGCGCTGCCCGTGGCCGGGGCATTGTGCAGCGCATCCCTCGTCGAACGTATTTTGTCGGACGCGTGGTCGAATTCCGCCAGTTCGGTCGAGATGGTGGTCAAGCGGTTCGGTTGCAATGTAGCCATGCGGATCTGAGCTTACCATTTCTTGCCATTTTGGCGGGGATCGCAGGAGCGTTTGTGTTGTGATCAACTGTGCTCGATATATCCAGCGGCAGCGTTTCATCCCAATATATTATTTTGAAAAAAGTCAGCAGGGGCCAAATTGCTGATGTGAAGCAACATAGGTGTCGAGGTCGCCATCGCCGTGCATGTCTCGTCGAACGTCTGCGGAACCTTGGCCCTCCTCGTCCTCCATGCCCTCCTCTGCGGCTGGCCGACCATGCTTGCGTTCCGTCGGGCCTGTACCCCCCACAGGGGGATTTTGGACGAAAGGTAAAACATGCTCCAAAAAACATTCAAACTATGCCCAAAAATACTAACAAAAATTGTCCCCAGACTATTTTTGAATACTCCCCTTGTAGAGGGACAGGCCCGACTTAATGCTTGCGCCTCGCTGCTTCCCCACTCAACGTGCCTGAGGCTGGAGGGCGACGGCGAGCGCCAGCACGGAGCGGGGTGGCGGCCGCCCAGGGGTCAGCGGCACACAGCGGGTCCGCCCCAAGGGGCGAGTGGGTGCTGTTAAGTCGGGCGTGTCCCCCTACAGGGGGATTTTCGACGAAAGATAAAAAATACCAAAAAAAATACTCCAGAATGGTCAAAAAAAAACTCAAAAAATAGTCCCCAGACTATGTCTGGACTATTTTTGAATATTCCTGCTGTAGAGGGACAGGCGCGACTTAAGGGTGCTGTGGATCACCGAGGCCGACGCTGAACCGGCCGCGGCAGCGGCCGAGGCAGTCGCTCCGGCTGAGGCCGCTCCGGCGCCTGATGCTGGTGCTGCTGCTGGTGCTGCTGCTGCGGTTCCTGAAGCTGCGCCTGCTCCTGCTCCTGCTCCCGCTGCTGGATGACGCTCTCGACGACTGCCAAGAACTCCCCGAGCTGGTTCCTCCGCAGCCGGAGAGCCAGGAGGTCCTGCAGGGCTGCTGAGAGCACCTGGCGCGCCCAGTCCGGGAGGCGCGCTCGCCCCATCAGCTCCGAGCGCGTCCCCCGGTGATCGCGCCGGCGCGGGCCACGCGAACGGCCAGGGGCGTCCATCCATCCGCACGTCCACCCTGCGCAGACAGCCGGGGCGAGACACACACCGACAAGATGTTGTGAGGGAGCTCCGGGCGAAAACGCACGCGGGAGCTGGGGGCGGTGGAGCTGGGGCGAAAGCGCACCACAGACAAAACCACAGTAGAATGAGGGAGGAGGAGGAGGAGGAGGAGGAGGAGGAGGAGGAGGAGGAGGAGGAGGAGGAGGAGGAGGGGGAGGAGAACGACCACAGCGATGCAAGATATTGTTAATCTGGCTTCGGGTATCCGTTCAACTTCCACAACCAATCTGGAGGTTGTCGGCGGCTTCCTCGGGCGGATATCATTCTGAATGTGCGGGCGGTCTAGGTGGGAGGGGGGGGGAAGGGGGAAGGAGGAGAAACGAGGGTGGAGGGACATGGGGGAAGGGAGGAGCCTTGGAGACCTTGTTGAAGGACAGGTCCAGGCAGACCAGCTGGGCCAGCCCGTCCAGGTTCTCGATCCTGCTGACGGCTTGCTGCAAGGAGGTCCCCTCGACTTCAACCTAGTGTTCCTCCTCATCAATATCACCACCATCATCATCACCACCCATCATCATCATCATCATCATCATCATCATCATCATCATCATCATCATCATCATCATCATCATCATCATCATCATCATCATCATCATCATCATCATCATCATCATCATCATCATCGTCATCGTCATCATCATCATCATCATCATCATCATCATCATCATCATCATCATCATCATCATCATCATCATCATCATCATCATCATCATCATCACCATCATCGCATGCGCATCCGCATCCGCATCCGCATCCGCATCCACATCATGACCATCATCATCATCATCATCATCATTATCATCATCATCACCATCATCATCATCATCATCATCATCATCATCATCATCATCATCATCATCATCTTCATTATCATCAGCATCGTCGTCATCTTCACCATCAACATCATCATCATCAGCATCAGCACCAGTATCATCATCAGCATCATCATCACCAGCATCGTCATCAACAATAGCAGCAGCATTATCATGATCATCGTCATCATCATCAGCATCGTCGTCATCAGCATCATCAACAGCATCATCCACATCCTCATCCGCAGAATCAACATCATCAGCAGCAGCAGGATCATCAGCATCAACATCATCACCATCATCACAATCAACACCATCATCATCAGCATCATCACCATCGCCATCATTATCATAATCATATGCGTTGCCATCATCATCAGCATAATCGGAATCATCCTCATTATCATCACTATCATCATCATCATCATCATCATCATCATCATCATCATCATCATCATCATCATCATCATCATCATCATCAACACCATCATCATCGGCAGCAACATCATCATCATAAGCATCGGCATCAGCGTCATCATCATCGTCATCAGCATCATCAACATGATCATCACCAGCGTCGTCAGCATCATACCACTCATCATCATCAGCATCATCATCATCAACATAATTCTGATCATCAGCATCATCATCAGCAGCATCACTGTCATCATCATGTTCGTGATCATCGCAATCATCATCTCATCCTCAGCATCACCTTAATCAGCATCATCACCAGCACCATCATGGCCATCATCCTGATCTCCACCCCCATCAGATAGATCATCATCATCACAGTCGCCACCCTTCCCATCATCGTCGTCGCACCCATCATCATCAGCATCATCATCAGCATCATCATCGTCACCATCATCAGCATCATCGTCATTATAATCATCCTCGTCATCATCATCAGCATCATCATCGTCGTCGTCATCGTCGTCGTCGGCATCAGAATCAACATCACCATCAGCAGCAACCGTTTCATCACCAGCACCTATGACACCCCCATCATCATCACCAGCAGCATCAGCATCATCATCGTCATCGCCATCATAATCACATGCATCATCATCATTATCATCATCAACATCATGTCATCATCATTCTGATCATCATCCTGATTCTGGTGGTTCCGGAAATCCGTCGCCGCGGGCGTGGAACAGCACCCCATGGTCTTCACCACTAGGGACGATCACTATATGGTCTGGGCGAGCATTCTGGGGGACAAGCAACTGTCTCGCGGCCCCCCAAAACGGCGTCTGGACGGTCTCAACTTTGCGATCCTGAACGGCGCGAAGCCTTTGCAGCCGATCTCCGAGACGCAGCTCTTGCTCGACACGCGCTGCTCCCCGAGGGCCTCGAGGTATATCACGCCGAACTCATCTGGGTCGCGCAGAGGCTCCAGGAGGCGCAGTTCTTCTCCGAGGCCACGCAATTAGCGCGAAGACCCTGGATCTCCCAGACCACCTGGCAGTTGGTCGTGCAGACACCGCGGATTCGTCAGCAGACTGCTCGGGCCATCTGGGCCAACCAGGCAAAGGGAAGCTCCGCTACTTCTTGCAAGCCTAGCAGCACTCCCTGACGAAGGATAGCGAGAGCCTCCGCCTCCAGCGCAGACACGACCAGCAAAGCCTGCATTCCGAGGCCGTCCACGTCCAGCAGCTGGTGCGCCACCGCAACCAAGTACGATCAGCGTCAAGAGCCGATCGCCAGCAGTGGGCTGATCACCTCGCCGCAAGGGCGCAGGAGGAAGACGACCGGCATGAGAACAAGACCCTCTACGAGATCACGCGTGAGATTCGCTCACCTCGGGGGCAGCGTGCGCTCGTTGTCGTGCGTCATGACGATGGCCAATTCCTTTGACTCCCAGGGCAGATTTGACAAATGGCACCGGCATTTGGGCCGAAATGTTTGCGGGCCAGGTCATTTCCATGGACCAGTTGCTCGCCAACCACCCAAGGGTCCCAGTGCCCCTGGACTGGATATCCATGGAGCGCGCCCGCGTCAAGGCGGACACGTGGCGGCTCAACCCCAAGGAAGGCTTGGGCACTGATGGTATCAACATCTCGGTATGGAGTGCTGGCCACGAGGCGACGCTTGAAGCGTTCCTACCGCTGTTCGACCTCTCTGCCTCGCGATGTCAGCTCCCAGTCGGCATGAAGGGAGGCAAGATCTTCGACATCTGGAAGCGCCAGGGCGATATCTTCTTGCCCCCGCAGAGTCGCGGCATCTTGGTTTCCGACCACCTGTCCAAGCTCTACACCATGCAGATCTCGGACCCTGTCTATGTACCAGGTATTGCCGGCTGCAGAAGGGGATGCGCTGTGTGGCGCAGTCCCAGGACTAGCAGAATTGTAGATCTTCGCAGAAAGAACGATCCACATGCGCCAGTGCTGAGCCATCCTATTATTCGACCTGACCAAAAACTTCGACAGCGCCAACCGGGAGTACCTCTACGAAACTGGTCACCGACAGCTACACGCACTTGCGGATCAGCTGTATGCATGATCTAGGCATCCCGCTTGACGTGGCCGACGAGACCCAGCGCTACCTGCAAGATAACCTCATCGCTCCTCCGAACGGCGGGCATGGACGAGCACGCCACCGCAAGGGTTGCTGACCTTGGTTTGGGAGAAACGAGGCATTTGAAAATGGGGCCACTAACCGCAGTTGCAATAGTTCGCTGCGTGGAACTATTGCGCGCAACTATTGGGAGCTATTGCGCCCGTGGGCACAACTATTGCGTCATATTGCATGACCAGACGCAACTATTGCATCGTGGCAGGCCAAAGATTATAAACGATTGCTCGCAAAAAAAACGAGAACACAAACTATTGCATCGCAGAGATAAACTATTGCGTTCGGGCGAGCAAACTATTGCACCCCGACTATTCCCCAATCAGTGCTTGCACTGAAGGGGTCCGAGCCGAAGTTGAAAACTTTGGCGACAATTTCCTGCCGATTTTGGTGGCGGGCTGGGTTCCCGGGTTCCCGGTTCCGGGTTCCCCGGTTCCCGGGTACTGATTCCGGGCCGATTTCGCTGGGTCTGGGTTCCCGGGCTCCCCGGTTCCCGGTCGATCTCCTCAGCGAAAACCATCCACTGATTGTTTTTTGTCTCTGGTGTAATTGCACTAAGCACAATACGATGTATGTGACCGTTTCCAACTATTGCACGAACTATTGCGCTCACGCTTCGCGGCCCCATTTCCAAATACCCCATTCGCCCGATTCTGATGACCTCCACTCCTGTACGTGGTTTCAGGTGCGAGGTGGACCGGGGCCTGCGGTCGCTGCAAACCGTGGCGCTCGTCAGGGTTGTCGGCTCGACGCGGCGTGCTTCAACATAGCGTACGAGCTGGCTCTCAAGCAAGTGCGGCACCGATTCCAGGAGAGCGGCATCCAGCTCAGCATGAAGATGTCCACGCACTCCTCCATGCCCTGGGCAACCGATTTCGAAAACAGCCCCGATCACGCCACTTTGCAGCAGGCACTCATCGACGAGCAATATGTAGACGACGTCACATTCGAGTTCCTGGCCGACTCCCCTCAGGAGTTGCCCGCCCAAGTGGACCCTGCAATGGACATCATCGCCGAGGAGTTTCGCAAGGTCGGCTTCGTGATCAACGTAGACCCCGGAAAATCTGCGATCATGGCGCGGATGTACGGCCAGGGCTCCCGCACGACCTGGAGAACACGGTTTCTCTCCACCGGCCGGTCGGCATATCGATCACCTGCAGGACTAGAGCTCGAAGTTGCACACGATTTCCCGCACCTCGGCACCACGCTGCAAGCATCTGGTCGGCACATCCTGGATGCCAAACAGAAGGCGCCCAAGGCCCAGCAAACCTACGCCCCCCTTGCGGTGCACATTTTTGGATGCAACTACCTACGGTGCTCCACGCGATCGACTTTAGCTACACGCTTGGTTTTTGTTTCGAAGAGTCACTACCGGAGATCAGCATGGCGTGAAGACGACCCTCAAGCCATGGCCATTCTGAATGGCCAGTACCATCGCGTCCTCCGGCGGGGGCGACATGCGCTAGGGGCCTCCGACACGGCCACCGACGAGGAGGCCAGGCAGAAGGTGCACGCTTCGCTGCTCGCGTCGATGGTCCAGGCCCGGCGGCTCTCCCAGCTCGCATCCCACTTCATGGCAGCGCGAAAGGTAGTCCAGATGATGGTCGGGGCTTTCCCGAAGCCCCCGTCGGCGCAGATGCTGCTCTACGACCTCGGGCAGTTCGCGGTGGCTTTCCCCGACAGTGGGCAGAGGCTCGGCTCGCCCTCCGCCCACCCCGAGGAGTGGCGGGCATAAATCGTCGAACCCCCTCGGCGCTGAAGAGCCAAGCAGCCCTGATGAAGTGGTGGATCCCTGACCCGTCCGACCCACTGGCCACACGCGGGCTCGGGGGGAAGCAGAGCCCTCGCCCTCCGGCTGCTTCCGACAAGCCTCTCCTCGCTTGCCCCGCCTGCGGCAAGCAGTGCAAGGGTCCGCAAGGCTTGGCCGCGCAACTGAGACGCAAGCACGGCAGGGAAATGACTGCCCGCAGCTTCTGTATCGGCTCAGCGCGTCCAGCCCGTGGTGTAGATTACCACGCCCGCCCTGGGGCGTTGCACCACTTAGAACTGTCTTCCAAAGCGCGTCGTGCCACAGTGCTCGCCAGAGAGCTGCCCGAATGTAGCGGGGGAGAGCTATCCGCCGCGGAGTTGCGCGACCACATCGCGCAGACGGCCGCTGAACTTCGCGGCGACGCCCGGGCGCGCGCTCTGGCTCCGCCTTCGCGCGGCCCTGGTGCACGCTAGCATGGAACTGGCCCAGCGGAGGTCCGTCGACATAGGTAGGAGGTCACGACGCCTATCGAAAACGCTACTTCGAGCCAGCATCCGTGAAAACAGAGGATCCCTTTCTCCTGGAGTGAGTTGTCCTCCCCTTTGAGCCGAGGCACCACGCCTCGTGCCTCTGGGGATTTCTCGACACAGCAGCACTCACTGAAGAGCTCCAGGCACCGCCTATAACCAGCGCAAGTCAAGTCATCATCCTCATCATCATCAGCATCATCAGATCATCATCATCATCATCATCATCACCATCAACATCAACACCATCATCAGCATCATCAGCAGCATAAGCATCATCATCAACAACATCGTCATCAACATCATCATGACCACCATCCGCGTCTTCATCCTCATCATCATCATCATCAGCAGCATCATCATCGTCATCAGCATCACCATCGTCATCATCATCGCAATCACAATCACCAACTCCATCATGATCGTCGTCGCCATCACCATCATCCATACATCTACTCCCTGTCGTACCACAGGTCGATTGTGATAAGATCAACTCCGAGTCGCCAACTCCTGCAATTCTCGCCTTCTTCCCGATTCCCGCTTTTCGTCGATCGGCCACACGCAGGAATGACCCTAAGCCGCTGCCGCCCCCAAGACCCTCCCATCGGAACCCTCCCCAGACCCCCCCCCGGGACCGCTCCAAGCACCCCCCCAAAGGAGAAGAAAGAGGACCGAAGAATCGAGGAGGGAGGAGGCCACAGAGCCGCGAAGATCACCGAATCTGGAGCCCCCCAGATCGGCGGCACTGGCCAGAGCCCATTACAATAAGAGCCACCTTCGGTGCGCTGCCTGCCGATCACTGCGTGCGGTGCGACAGTAGCGGCCTGCGTACCTGGGCTTCTCCCCCCCGCGCCCCACACAAGCCGCGCACCAAAGGCTACAGTCAACCCGCATAGTAAGGATGGGCAACCTTCCCAAGGGTACCCTTGCATCCTTGCCTCCTCGGTCCATCCTTCGCCGCTTTCGCTGGCCGCGCCCAGTTCGAAAAGCTTCGAAATGGGCGCCCAAGGCCCTTGCATCCTTATCGCGCATCCTTACTATACTGGTTGGTTGACTGTACTCTGGCGAGGGGTCATTCGCATGTGTAAGCGAATCGCGGGTCCTTTTTGCTGGGGGTCCTAACGCCGTGTGGTGACAAATCGCGAGGTGACCTCGGAATCCCAAGAGACCTCATCGCCCGGTCCGTCACCGCACGGTCCTTGGACCCTGGAGGCCCCCTTCGCCCGAGGCGCCCTCGGAGAGCGACCCGAGTCCCAAGACCGTGCGGTGGCCCCGGATCCTTCACGGACTCGCCACACGACGTGGCCACCGTACCACTCGGTGCCCCCGAGTTTGACGTCCCAGTTGATGTTGTTTCCATCCCACTTGAGGACCGCATCCCAGAAATAATTTCGAGCACCTGGAAAAGGGGCCGAAAGAGTGTCGAAGCAGTGTCGGGCGAGTGTCTCCCAGGGTCCGACACGTGAACACCATCGAGTTTCGGTATTGGTGATCAAGGCTAAAGTAGGTTGGAACATCAGAAGTCCCAGTGCGGGAAAGGACCCCTGGGAGCCGACACCCGAGACAAAACCTCCGCCCCGCTGTTGTTGCTCTCGGGCCGCCGGGCGTCTGCAGAGAGGGCAGGAGAGCCGTCCCGCCGCCCTCTCGCGGCGTCATCATCCTCATTCCCCTCCTTCTCCCCAGGCCTATGATGTTCCAACCTATTTTAGCCGTGATCACCAGGAAGAATTTCGAGCGCACCCCAAAACTCGAGGGTTTTCACGTGTCGGGCCCTGGGAGACACTGTTTCGACACTCTGTCGACACTCTTTCGACACTTTTCTGGGAGCTCGAAATTATTTCTGGGATGTGGTCCTTAAGTACGATGGGAGCAACATAACCCCAGGCTTCCTGATGATCGCGTTGTGCGACAGGTCCAGCCAGCGCAGGTTGCAGCACCTGCTCGCCCCGTCGGCGATCCGCGGGATCGACCTGTCATCTGGGAGGCCAAACTTCCGCATCCCAGTCGGCATGGCTTCGGCGGGTGTTCGGGGGAGCACGGGGGGGAGCAGGAGGTCGAGGAGAAAGACAAGAGGAGGAGAAGAGGGGGAGAGGAGAACGGAGAAAGAGGGTTACTCCTCTCCCCTCCCTCATGTCTCCACCCTCCCTCATCCTCCCTTCTACATCACCTGCCTCCTCGGCATCCTCCCTCCATCACCTCCACCTCCGCGCACCCTTCCCTCTCCTCCTCTGGACCTCTGCCTGGCGCGCTTCCTGGCCAAACCTGCCACGAGGTGGATTCGGCGATGGCCGCGAGGGCGCCCCCGGTGGCCCAAACAAGACCCCGGAGAGCCCCGTGCCAGCGTTCCTCCTCCTCCTCCTCCTCCTCCTCCTCCTCCTCCTCCTCCCCCTCCCCCTCCCCCTCCCCTCCTCCCCTCCTCCCCTCCTCCCCCCTCCTCCTCCTCCTCCTCCTCCTCCTCCTCCTCCTCCTCCTCCTCCTCTCCTCCTCCTCCTCCTCCTCCTCCTCCTCCTCCTCCTCCTCCTCCTCCTCCTCCTCCTCCTCCTCCTCCTCCTCCTCCTCCTCCTCCTCCTCCTCCTCCTCCTTCCTCCTCCTCCTCCTCCTCCTCCCCCCACGCGATCCCGCCGCCCCCGGTGGCCCAAACAAGGCCCCGGAGAGCCCCGTGTCAGCGTCCTCCTCCCCTCCTCCTCCTCCTCCTCCTCTCTCCCTCCTCCCTCCTCCCTCCTCCTCCTCCTCCTCCTCCTCCTCCTCCTCCTCCTCCTCCTCCTCCCTCCTCCTCCTCCTCCTCCTCCTCCTCCTCCTCCCTCCTCCTCCTCCCTCCTCCTCCTCCTCCTCCTCCTCCCTCCTCCTCCTCCTCCTCCTCTCCTCCTCCTCCTCCTCCTCCTCCTCCTCCTCCTCCTCCTCCTCCTCCTCCTCCTCCTCCTCCTCCTCCTCCTCTCCTCCTCCTCCTCCTCCTCCTCCTCCTCCTCCTCTCCCTCCCCTCCCCCTCCTCCTCCTCCTCCCTCCTCCTCCTCTCCTCCTCCTCCTCCTCCTCCTCCTCCGCCTCCTCCTCCTCTCCTCCTCCCCTCCCCCCTCCTCCTCCTCCTCCTCCTCCTCCTCCTCCCTCCTCCTCCTCCTCCTCCTCTTGTTCTTATTATTATTCTTATTATTATTATTCTTCTTATTCGTATCAGTATTATTCTTCGCCTTCTTATCATTATCATTATTATTCTTATTATTCGTCTTCTTCTTAGTCTTAGTATTATTATTATGCTTATTATTCTTCTTATTACGCTTATTATTATTATTCGTCTTGTTCTTATTCTTATTATTATGCTTGTTCTTCTTATTCTTCTTATTATTCTTATTATTAGTCTTCTTATTATGATTATTCTTCTTGTTGTTATTATTAGTCTTCTTATTATTAGTCGCATTATTATTCTTATTATTATGCTTCGTATTCGTCTTCTTATTATTCCTCTTCTTCTTATTCTTATGATTATTCGTATTATTATTCTTCTTATTATTATTCTTATTATTATTCTTCCTCCTCCTCCTCCTCCTCCTCCTCCTCCTCCTCCCTTCTTATTATTATTCTTATTATTATTCTTCCTCCTCCTCCTCCTCCTCCTCCTCCTCCTCCTCTTCCTCCTCCTCCTTCTTCCCTCCCCCCCCCTCCTCCTCCTCCTCCTCCTCCTCCTCCTCCTCTCTTCCTCCTCCTCCTCTCTCCTCCTCCTCCTCCTCCTCCCCTCCCTTCCTCCTCTTCCTCCTCCTCCTCCTCCTACTCCTCCTCCTCCTCCTCCTCTCCTCCTCCTCCTCCTCCTCCCCTCCTCCTCCTTCCTCCTCCTCCTCCTCCTCCTCCTCCTCTTCCTCCTTCCTCCTCCTCCTCCTCCTCCTCCTCCTCTCCTCCTCTCTCCTCCTCCTCCCTCCTCCTCCTCTCCTCCTCCTCCTCCTCCCTCCTCCTCCTCCTCCTCCTCCTCCTCCTCCTCCTCCCCTTCCTCCTCTCGCCCCTCCCTCCTCCTCTCCTCCTCCTTTCTCCTCCTCACTCCTCCTCCTCTCCTCCTCCTCCTCCTCCTTCCTCCTCCTCTACCCCCTTCCTCCGCCTCCCCCCCCCCCCCCCGTTTTTTTTTTTTTTTTGTTTCCTTCTCCTCCTCCTCCTCCCCCTCCACGCGATCCCACACACACAGACACACACACACACAGAGACACACACACACACAGACAAACACAGACACACAGAGACACACAGAGACACACACAGACACACAGACACACAGACACACAGACACACAGACACACAGACACACAGACACACAGACACACAGACACAGACACACAGACACACAGACACACAGACACACAGACACACAGACACCCAGACACACAGACACACAGACACACAGACACACAGACACACAGACACACAGACACACAGACACACAGACACACCAACACAGAAACACGCAGACACACAGACACACAGACACACAGACACACAGACACACAGACACACAGACACACAGACACACAGACAGACGGACACACGGACACACGGACAAGCAGACACACAGACACACGGACACACACGGACACACGGACACCACAGACACAAGACAACAGACACAAGACACACGGACACACGGACACACGGACACACGGACACACGGACACAGAACACGGACACTACAGACACACAGACACACAGAACAGAGACACCGGACACACAGGACCACACAGACACAACAGACACACAGACACACAGACACTATAAATATATAATATACATACTAGAACCACGCGCGCGCTTCGCGCGCGCTTAGGTTCTAGCTAGGATCGTCACCGTCGTCATCATGAACATCACCATCGCCATCATTCCCCCCGCCAGGGCTAATGTACATCGTTTCTGGATGCTTCTGGCCGAAATACGAAAGGAGTTTCTGTAGTTAGAGTCTCTGGGGGAAGTCGCGGGGAAGCTTTTGTTGTCTTTGGTGTTGCGTCGCCAGGAGGTCTGGGCTCCCTCCTCCTCGTGTTCCTACCTCCTCTCTGGACGTCCGATGTCGTGATGCTTTCTGTGCGCGGCCCCTGGACCTCTCGACGACTTCCTGGGGATGTGTTTTTTTTTCATCCTGAGTCGTTTTCTGACGGTCCCGGGACCCTGCGAGGGGCCCCGGAGGCGGAAAATTGACCGAAACCGCCGTCGTGATTTTTCCAAGACGTCGGAGGTCCAGGTCGTGCTTCCCGCCTCCCCAGACCTCCGACGTCGTAATTCTTGCGACCTCGGGCCCAGGAATCGATTGGGAAAACGCACATGGGAAGGCAAGAAATGATGGACCCATCATTTCGTACCTGTGCCTTGATCAGTGGGACGGGATTCGCACCGCCGCACATCACAAGACACGCTCGAGCGAATCCAGCCGTGGCGACGTCGGGGACTGCAGAAGGTCGCAAGGACACGGAATATGAAAGGAAGAAAGAGAAAGAGAGAGAAAGAGAGGGAGAGAGAGAGAGAGAGACAGACAGACAGAGAGCGAAGGAGAGAGAGAGAGAGAGAGAGAAAAAAAAAAAGAGAGAGAGAGAGAGAGAGAGATGGAGAGAGAGAGAGAGAGAAGACAGAGAGAGAGAGATAGAGAGGCAGAGAGAGGAAATGGAGAGGAGGCGAGCTTGAGTCAACGAAAGTCGCAGGGAAGGGGGCAGGGGAAAGAAGGCCAGAGAGCGCTGAAGGATACAAATACTGGAACCCTCTTGGGATTTTTTGGGGGGCCTTGTCCGGCCGCTCGCTGGGAGTTTGACGTAGCTTCTTGGGAGCCTCTGAACCTGTCGGGGGCCTCCTGGAAGCAGGTTCGAAGCATTTGGGGGGCCGATTTGGGGCTTCTCGGGGCCTCCTTTGGGCCTCTTGGGGGTCTCCTGGGGCCTCTTGAGGGGCCTCCTTGGGGCCTCCTGGCGGCCTCTGGGGGCGGAAGGCTCGAGCTTGCGGTTCGTGGTCCCCCTCTGGGCCCCCTCTTGGGCCCGTCTTGGGGCCCTCTTGGGCCATCTGGGGCGCCTCTTGGGCCGTCTTGGGGCCCTCTTGGGCTGTCCTGGGGCCCTCTTGGAAGCTTCTTGGGCCGTCTTGGGGCGGTCTTGGGCGCCTCTTGGGCCGTCCTGTAACGTCGGAAAGCCCAAAAAGCAACTTTGTTGAAAAATGTACGTTTTACGAAGGGAATGGGCAAATTTTTGCGTCTAGGGGCCCTCTTGGGACGCATGTTGGAAGCTTCTTGGGGCCTCTTGGGGGCGTCCTTGGACGTCTGGAGGCCATCTTCAGCATCTCGGAGCCCTCTTGGAGGCCTCTTGGAAGTTTCTTGGGCCGTCTTGGGCGCTCCTGGGGCCGTCTTGTCTGACCGGGGAGGCCTCCGGCAAGCCCCGACGAGCCTCCGGGCCCCCCGGAGCCACATTTGTGGTCGAGGTCCCGGCCCCGGGCCCCCGGACCCGGTTGCGCCGTAATTTGTGTTATATATATATATATATATATATATATATATGTAGAGAGAGAGAGAGAGAGAGAGACAAAACAAGAGACAGAAAGAGAGAGAGAGAGAGAGAGAGAGAGATAGAACCGAGTCGGCCCGCAGGCAGCGACAAGGTCACCGAGCTCAAGCAACTGTTGATTGTGGCGACGCTGCCTGAGAGCTCAAGTCGGTTCTCTGACGGCGGCGGCATGAATGGCTATTTCCCCAAGAGCAAGGCCGAGCAGCCCGAGCAGCTCGAGGGGGAGGCGGCCATCGCTCTCGATGATCTGGGCGAGGAGCCCGCCGAGCAGGATGCCGATGAGAAAGATGCATCTGATGAGTCTGGCATGTGCACCGAGGAGGAGGACGCGCACAGCGAGGAGGAGGGTGCGTGCAGCGAGGAGGTGAACGGCGAGCTCCCTGCTGGCGACGTCGACGCGGGCAGTCTTGTCGACGTCGACGCGGGCAGCCTTGGCGACGTCGACGCGGGCAGCCTTGTCGACGACGGCGCG